CAAATGATAGATACATCTCAGTGTGTGAAGTAATTAATCATCTGTGATATGATGTTAAAATATAAAAGAATTTACTATTCAACAATTGAAAAAATAACTCAAGCAGTAAATCCAAACTTTAGAGGTTTCTCGAAAGTATCATTGTTGTGTTGGTTTTTCCTTTTGTAAATTGTGATTATATAAAATAATGTAAGAAAGAAAATATAATTTCATATATAAAATTATTATAAAATTTAAATGACGAATCCATAATATAGAATTGGAATTGAGTATAGAATAATGCATGAAAAAATACGAAGAAAAAAAATATAGTTTAGTATTAAAAAAAAAATCTAATATTCTTGAAAGATTTAAGAAGGAAAACATGAAACACAAATTTGGTATTGGATTTGTGTAAAACTTTATATGTAATTAAAAAAAATATGGTGACGTGGCTCTTTAAAAAAAAAAATCCTTATAATATGTTACCTAAACATAAAATAAAATAAAATACTACTTCAATAATTTATATATATATATATAACGTCCCTGGTAATACTTTTGATTATCTTCAATAATACTTTGTTTTTGACTGTTGGAAAAAAATCAAATTCATAACAAAACGAAAGACAAGTATTGAGAGAGAGGAAGAGAGAGACATTAAACCACTCCAAGACCTATCGGGTTTGTTTGTTTTAAGAGTGCAATGGAGGGAATTGTTAGTGAGAGGACTATTAGTGAGGAGATTAAGAAAAAATACGTTTGTTTGATAATTAGTGAATTAGTAATAATTCTTGTTTGTTTTGAGAAATAAGAGTGAGATTAACTATGTAAAATTCTACAAATACTCTTTGCATTATTATCAAATTTAGGCTTATACCAACTAAAGAATAAATAAATTTTTACTTAATGTTATTCTTCTTCCCTTTTTTTTTATATAATATTTTTTAAATATTAAAGAATCCAACTATCAATAAATTTTTACTCAATGTTATTCCTGTTTTTTTTTTTTTATAAATATTAAAGAATCCAACTATCAATAAAAATTTACTTAATTATTTGTGTTTAATATTACATGAGTCATATTATGAGCCTCATTTCAAATTTTTACTCAATGTTATTCTTCTTCCCCTTTTTTTTATATAATATTTTTTAAATATGAAAGAATCCAACTATCAATAAATTTTTATTCAATGTTATTCCTATTTTTTTTTACAACTATTAAATAATCCAACTATCAATAAAAATTTAATTAATTATTTGTGTATAATATTACATGAGTCATATTATGAGCCTCATTCCAAGTATTATAACAAATTTAGCAATAAACACAAGGGTAAAATAGTCAATTAATACATTGTCCCAAGGGATTCATTTTTGAATAACACCTCCTCTAGGCTACTATTAGCCCCCTCATCCAAGGCTATTCATAGTCTCAAGAGACTCTTAATTCTATAGCCACTTTCCAAAACAAATACAATTTTTTAAATTTCAACTCCCTACTAGTTCCAATTTCATCCTCCAACTCTAGAAACAATTTCATCCTCGAACTCCAAAAACAAACGGGACCATTGCGTTTTCACAACAAACAACTAACTAACCTACCAACCAACCACCACCACCTTATTTTAGCCTCATTCAAACAAATAGACAAAAAAGTTGTATTGTAGATCTGAGTTGTTTTTTTTTTTTTTCAAAAATTAATGCACCATCAATCCAAAACAAACCACCTCCACCAACAATTTTTTTTGAATAATGTCATGTTGATTAAAATTTATTATTATATTTTTCATAATTAATTTAAGGTGACATACTTATAAATATTAGCATAATAGGACTCATGTCAGGGGCGGAGGGATGTGCGGGCCAGGGCAGTCTCCTGACTTTTGAATTTATTTATTTATTTATTATTTATTTTATTTTTTTAAGATTTGTTTGTGCCTATATACACTTGCACAGCAGCCCAGCCCACCTTGACTGAAAAAAACTGACACGCACACAAAGCCACAATTTCTAAACACACTAAGGCTATTTTGACAACATGGTATGAAGTCACTTTTTTTAATTAATAGTAAAAGTTAAAAGTTGATTTTTTTGTCTCTTTTTTTATTTGAGAAGTTGGTTTTTAGCTAATGGTGAAATTACAATTTTACCCCTCATAGGTCAAAATGTGTTACATAAATGAAGTTGTAAATATTTTAAATAAATAGGGATAGTTTGGTCATTTTATTATGATTTGACATTATAAACAAACATTAATCAAAAAAATCAAAAGTCACTTTTTACTAACTTTTCAAATTATTTGTCTAAAAAAGCCAAAAACTTGATTAAAAGTCAAAAAATCACTTTTTACCATCTTCCCAAAACAACCTTAATACTAACACACACCCAAACACACTGACACAACTTTAATCTAATTATTTATTTATTTATTTTTAATCATGAAAAACGGTAGCAAGGTCTTTTTTTTTTCTTTTTTTTTTTTTCTCTTTGTTGATTTATAATTTATCAACTTATGATTTACCAGATTAGAATCACATAACATAAATTTGGAATCACACTATAACTTTGGTATCTTTTTTTTATTGTTTACAAGTAATTTTATTTATGGTTTTTTTAAAATAAAAATTATGAATATCAATTTATAATTATTTGTTAAGTTTTGATTTGTAAAAATTTTTTATTTGTTATTATTTACGTTAAAATAAGAGATTTTGATATGTTAAAATTATGAATCTTAATTAGTGGTGTACGGGGAGCAAATATTCCGGCGAGCCCGTACTCCTTTCTTCCGAGCTCCGTCGATGTCCGATCACCTGCGAGCAAGCAACGGTGAGCTACCCGGCGGTGTGTGGCCGGAAAAACCCTCCGACGGTCAAGTTAGCACACACCTTAGGATGGATAGAGAGATGGGAGAGAGTGTTTAAGTGTAAGAATTCCTTACAGAGGTGTTCGTGTGTCGCGTATGGGGGGCGCAGACATGCTTATATACCTTCTGCGCCCCATATCCACTCCAGTCATCTCCTGACACGTGGCTCTGCTATCCCATCTGTCAGCACAAACCTTGCTGAACATCACCTAATCTCATCTGCCTGTCATCATATCTAGAGCTCGGCAGCCGAGCTGCCCTATGCGTTGCTGCGCCGTGCCGTGCTTCATACCCAAGCGCTTCCCTGGCAAACCCCAAGGGGGGACCGGGTTAGGCGGCATCTCGGCAAAGCCTAGCCCGAAGCACCCCATGGTCAGCTTTCACGTCGGTCAAACGGTAACCTCGGCCGACCGTGCCATTCCAGGCGCCGGTCACTCGGCTTGTCTGGCTTCAGCTAATCTCGGACCGAGCATCCAGGTCCGACCGAGCTCTGTCTTACCGAGCTGCTTCTTTACGGTCTTGGGCGGGACGCACTCGGACCAAGTTCTGCCCGGCCCAAGTTCTGGCAGACCTTCTCTGGGCGAACAGTCGATCATCTCGGCCCAATGCACTACTGGGCTCTCAACCTGCTCGGTCGCTACCTCGGCCCAACTCCAGATCATAAATCACCCTCTCAGCCACCTAAACTCTTAATATTATTAAATTTCCTTCCAAAACCATTACAATTAGCATCCTTATATAAGAAAAATAAAATAACATAGACTTCCTAAATTGATAGCGTGACTGGGATTACTCACTTCGACCGAGATAACACTTCTCCGGTCTTCAAGACGCCGAACCTCAACCGGGCTAGTTAACATAATTGTCTGCGAACTTGCCCGGTTATATTCCTCGGCTGACATCCTCTTCGTCGAAAGTAGCTCGGTTGGCTCTTCGTATTTGCAACCCGTCGCTTCAGTCCTGTCATCGCCATAAATGGGGACACGTGGCGGGCTGCCATTGGTCATCGGGCAGCCAACCCGCCGTTTTTGCCAGATTTTTGAATTTGGGCGGCCTTTCTTACTTACATATACAGGACCCCCCTCAAGCCATTCATTTCTATTGCTATTCCGTCTCAAGACTCCAGAGCTCTAGCATTCTCGCCATTAACTCGTGTGCCATTCTTTATGCTCAAGGGACTCGACCTCGCCCTTCACTGGTGAGTCCTCCTTCCTCTAGTTGGTTGCGATTTTCTTTCATGATACACACATTAGGGCACAAAAACATAGCTATTAGGGCATAGGTCGTAGAATCCGCACCTAACCTCCCATTGTTCTTGGTGTTCTTCATATTCATGAAGAACACTGAAAAACTGGGGTGAACCGGGCTCCTGGTCCTCTTTTGATCCAAAAAACCAGTCCAACCGAGCAAATAACAAGTTTGTCTCGACCCCTGCAACAACCGAGATAACAAAAGGATTTGGTCGCTTAACCGGGCTAACATCTGGTCTGCTTGGGCGACCGGGCTCCTTAGATAGAATAAACAACCGAGGTTGTTTGGCAGCCTTAATGACCGAGCTAAAATCCAGCTCCTTTTGCGCGACCGCGCTAACACTTAACACTTGCCATCCTTTTCCTGCAGAGTCCAAGGGGACCACTGTCATTCCTGAGGCTCTCAGGACCGAGCAGCATCCAATAACCAGTGCCAAACCCCTCAGCCGGGATACACTAAGCCGGCCACAAATGGGGAAATTCCTGTGACCGGCACCCCGGATAAAGATCTTCACGACGATGATTTTTTCTGGGTGTCGGGCAATTACGAAACAGCCGAGGTGCCGGGCTGGTTCATAAACAAGGACTTCGGTTCTTCATGTAAGCCACTCAAACTTGCTCGGTTAGCTTAATTCCTTACTTTGTAACTAACCGGTTTTCCCGTTTCTTTTGCAGCAATCCAAGCCTTGCAAGCCAACTATCAATTCCCCAACGTCGAAGCAATTCGGACCGTGCTTAGGTACCGTCACCGAGATTGCAACGATTTACTTGGCTATACACCGACATACAGGTATTCTGCTCCGCGCCGGAGTAGAGTAACCGACTTCCTCAGAGCTCCTTCGCCACCTTCAGATCCAACCCTACCCGACGTCCCGTTAATCCGGTTGACAGACGAGCAAGAAATGGCCAAAAGAAGTCGAATCAAAAACCTGCTCATCGCCACATCCGCCGAGGTGCCGAGCGTAGTAACTCGGTCGCCAGCCGCCGGTCAATCCAGTGGCGCCGTGGTCGCCCTTGCCACTCAATCCACCGGGCAATCCAACCGAGAAGCCTCTGCACGTCGGGCCGGAAAAAGAGCTCGGGTAGACCCGTCCACCGACCTAGTCACCGAGCTTACCACCGAGCACCCAACAGACGCCCCCGCCCCAGTGCCGGCCTGGCGCCCACATTTGAAGCACCGGGGTCAAGACATCCCGGCGACGGCTTCAATCAAGGCTGACAAAGAGCATCTGCTCGCCTTTGATCTGTCAAAAGCTCTGCTACTACTGAGCGACGTGGTCGGCAGCGACCACGTCCCTGACACTCGGTTGGTCAAGTCGTCAGTGAAGTCTATGGCCAGGGTAAGTTGATGTTCCTTTTAAAAATTTCACAAGTGTTTGCTCGGTTCCCTTTCTGCTCGGTCCCCTTTCTGATCAACTTTGCTTCTTTGTGCAGGCCATTCAGAAACAACACTTGGTTTTGGAGCGCATCCACCGGCTTAGGCAGAAAGCCAACGACACAGCCAGCCAGGTTGAAAGCCTTCAAGCCGAGCTCGGCCGGGCTAAGTCTTCGCTTGAAATGGCCAACTCCGACAATAACAGACTGCTCGGCCAGCTAGATGCGGCCGAGAAAAAACAAAATGAGCTCGAGACCGAGGTGGCTACCCTGAAGAAATCGAAGAAGAAAGCTTGTCGGGCTGCAAACACCGCCGGCTTTAACGAGGCCGAGGAGAGCTACAAGAAGCAAGTCTTTGCAACGCAAGACATCTACTTCAAAGCAGGCTGGAAGTCTGCCTGCGAACACCTCGGCCAAGGCTCCGACACCGACGTATTTGCCAACCCTCCTCCAGCTTCGCTACCGGTCTACCTTGTGCCTTACGCGAACGACGTATTCAGCGCTCTGCAAGCGGAGGCCGAGGAAGGACTTGAAGATGGAGAGGATGACACAGATTCAGAGGCAGAGGCCGAGGTGCCAGAGCAGCCCGGCAGTGCTGAGCCCGGTGCCTAAGACGTCAGTCCTACCATCAACCTTGATGCTGGCGAGGACGAGTTCACCAATCTCTCCCCTCTAGTTTAGTTTTCTTTTTCCTTGTTTTTGTATTTTTGCTTCCAACTCTTTTGATGTAACCGGGCTCTGTCCCCACCTTTTGTAATGATTTTCTTTTCAATGAGAAACTCAAATTTTTCTAAGTGTTTGCACGGTAGTAATCAATTCCATCTTTAGCAAAATATCTCGGTATAACTCATAACTTTTTCGACCGGAATCCATAACACGGTCGAAGTACTTCAGCATAACAAAATAAATTCATGAACCGAAATAACCATCTCGGTTGTAACAAAGTTGAACAAATCAACACTTCTAACCGGATTAGATCATCTCGGTTGGGAATCCAAAGTTGGACAAAACACCAACTCTTCCAACCGGAGTACACCATCTCGGTTGGGGATCCTAAGTTGGACAAGTCACCAACTCTTCCAACCGGAGTACATCATCTCGGTTGGGAATCCTAAGTTGGACAAAACACCAACTCTTCCAACCGGAATACACCATCTCGGTTTGCAATTTTAAGTTGGACAAATCACCAACTCTTCCAACCGGAGTACTTCATCTCGGTTGGGAATCCTAAGTTGGACAAAACACCAACTCTTCCAACCGGAATACACCATCTCGGTTTGGAATTTTAAGTTGGACAAATCATCAACTCTTCCAACCGGAGTACATCATCTTGGTTTGGGATTCTAAGTTGGACAAATCACCAACTCTTCCAACCGGAGCAAATCATCTCGGTTGGGAATCCTAAGTTGGACAACACCAACTCTTCCAACCGGAGCAAATCATCTCGGTTGGGAATCCTAAGTTGGACAAGACACCAACTCTTCCAACCGGAGTACATCATCTCGGTTCTTAATCATTAAAACAATAATCCATGTGCTAAAGCAAAATTACTTCTATAATTTTGACAAAAAGAATTACATTCTGCTTTGTAAGCCAAAAAATTTCTTTACAAAAAGAGGAAAGTAAAGCTTAAAAATAATACAATTTCAAGTTGGCCGCATTCCATGGCCGGGGTATATCTCTTCCCTCTAGATCCTCCAAATGGTAAGCCCCCTTGCCAGCCAGACCAGTGATCTTGTAGGGTCCTTCCCAATTTCCCCCTAGTTTGCCTTCTCCTGGCACCAGGGTGTTGCCCATAATCTTCCTCAAAACCCAATCTCCAACTTTGAACAGTCTGGGGTGCACGGTCTTGTTATACTTCTTGGAGAGCTCTTGTTGGTAGGCGGCCACATGGATGAGGGCTTTCTCCCGGCGCTCTTCCACGAGGTCCAGCTCCAGGGCAATAGCCTCGACATTCAGCTCAGGCTCAAAACTCTCGCTTCTAAGGGTGGGCATTCCAACTTCCAAAGGTATGACCGCCTCCATGCCATAAGCCAAAGCAAATGGAGTCTCCCCGGTAGATCGCCGTGGGGTTGTTCGGTATGCCCAAAGGACGCTGGGCAATTCCTCAGCCCATTTTCCCTTTGCCTTCTCTAACCGTTTCTTCAACCCATCCAGTATAGTCTTGTTCGACGCTTCGGCTTGACCATTGGACTGCGGGTAGGCCGGGGTGGAGTTGTAGAATTCTATCTTCAGATCCTCACAAAACTCGGTCCTTCTTGCTCGGTCCCCTTTCTGATGTACTTTGCTTCTTTGTGCAGGCCATTCAGAAACAACATTTGGTCTTGGAGCGCATCCACCGGCTTAGGCAGAAAGCCAACGACACTGCCAGCCACGTTGAAAGCCTTCAAGCCGAGCTCGGCCGGGCTAAAGCTTCTCTCGAGATGGCCAACCATGACAATAATAGGCTGCTCGGTCAACTGAATGCAGCCGAGAAAAAACAAAACGAGCTCCAGGCCGAGGTTGACACTTTGAAGAAGGCGAAGAAGAAGGCTTGCCGGGCTGCCAACAATGCGGGTTTCAACGAGGCCGAGATGAATTACAAGAAGCAAGTCTTTGCAACACAAGACATATACTTCAAGGCTGGCTGGAAATCCGCTTGCGAACAGCTCGGCCAGGGCTCTGACACCGACGTTTTTGCCAATCCTCCCAAAGCTTCACTACCGGTCTACCTCGTGCCATATGCAAATGACGTATTCAGTGCGCTTCAAGCGGAGGCCGAGGAGGGGCTTGAAGAAGGGAGTGATGAGACAGATTCGGAGGCTGAAGACGCCGTAGTGGAAGTGCAGCCCGGTCAAGTTGAGCCCGGTGCCCAAGAAGCGAGCCCAACCACCAACCTTGAGACTACCGAGGATGAATTCACCAATCTATCCCCCCTGATTTAGTTTTCTTTTCTTTGCATTTTTGCTTTCAATACTTTAGATGTAACCGGGCTCTGTCCCCACCTCTTGTAATGAATTTCTTTATCAATGAAAAATTTTGAATTTTCGCCAAGTGTTTGCCCGGTAGTA